GCCCTGGGCTCTCTGCAGCAGCTCCAGGTCCCTCCTGTGCTGGGCCAGCTCTGCAGGTGAGGTCTCACCTGAGCACAGGGGCAGAATCCCCCCATAACTCTCACCCCCAGCACCCCCAGGTCCTTCTCCTTTTAAAGCAGCACCCACAAGAAACCCCCAGGCTCCAAATGAGCTCCAGATGGAGCAGAGCTGCCCAGCCCTGTGCCATGGCACAGTCAGTGTTCAGCCACGTGGGATGCAGGAATCAATACAAATCCACTCCTCCTGTTAGAATTTGTCCAGAACATTCCACAAGGGTAACAACTTCTGACAGAAGTTAGTCAATCTGGCAGCTATTGGATCTAATGGATCACCTCTCTTCCCATATGAAAACACAAATTTGGAATAAACTCCACAGAGTGAGGCCTAATTTGAGCAGATGTTATTACATGTGCCTGGGCCTGATCCAGCTCAGATTTGTACTGCTGGCTAATCTAATGTCTTAGACCTGGGATTAATGATCACCAGAACAGCATCAGCACCTAGAGAATCAGCAAAACACTGCTGAGACTCATCACCAAAATCTCATCATCCATCTCAACTGCACCCTGAGCTAGAATGGCCAGACTGGGCCTAGACACTCAGCCTAAAATTGGCCAGACTTGGCATAGACACTCAGCCTAAAATTGGCCAGACTGGGCCTAGACACTCAGCCTAAAAATGGCCAGACTGGGCCTAGACATTCAGCCTAAAATTGGCCAGACTGGGCATAGACACTCAGCCTAAAAATGGCCAGACTGGGCCTAGACACTCAGCTAAAATTGGCCAGACTGGGCCTAGACACTCAGCCTAAAAATGGCCAGACTGGGCCTAGACATTCAGCCTAAAAATGGCCAAACTGGGCCTAGACACAGCCTAAAATCGGCCAGACTGGGCCGAGACATTCAGCCTAAAATTGGCCAGACTGGGCCTAGACACTCAGCCTAAAAATGGCCAGACTGGGCCTAGACATTCAGCCTAAAAATGGCCAGACTGGCTTAAACACTCAGCCTAAAAATGGCCAGATTTAATTCCAAGCTTTATTTATTTGCCCCAGTACCTTAACTTAGATCTGCACACCACATCTCCATTGCCAGACAAACTAGGTTCCAGGTTGATGAAGATAAATTTGAAAAAGATGGTCAAAAACTGGTCAAAATCATTCATAAACACATTAGGGAGCTCTAAGATTGTCTAAAGATGTGGGAAAAATCTATCTGTGGGCAGGGAGACATAAAGACAACGGCATGAGCTAGTTTAAAAATCAACTGAAGCACTTTCTCCCTAAAACATTTCACAGGAATGATAACAACATGTAAAATAATAACTTGAATTTTTTCCATTATAGAAACACTACAAAAAATAGTGCACCAAGTAAAAGTAAAATGCAAAGAGTACTCAAAGTGCCTTTATGGGGAAAATAAGAGAAATCAAGATAAAAATCACAGTTTGGTGCCTTTCCACATCTACACATACACTGCAAACTTGGCAAATGTGGTTTTCAGAATCCCTTGAAATGGTAAAACTAAGATGACTTTCCTTCATAAAGCTGATTTTTGAATGATAGGAAGCAATAGGCAAAAGTATTTTTATTTAAAATTAAAGAGTGAGATGCTCATGAAGGCAGTACAAGAATATCATGGAATCATTTAGGCTGGAAAAGCCTTCCAAGGCTGAAGCACCTTCAAGTCATTAATTCATCCTTTTTCTTGAAACAAGAGGAAAAAGTAGGAAATGAACATTGAGCCACAGCTCTTAAGAAATGCATTTCTTCATAGACCTGTGCTCAGCCACAGCAACCTTCCAAATTGATTTTACTAAACAACTTTTCCCCTTAACCAAAATGCCTGGGATAGCAGGACTCTTTCTTCTTTATGGCTAATTAGTTCAATTCCAGCCCTGGTGGTCACTGAACATTTAATTGAGCAATGAATATTCAGAGGCACCACTCCCAGTCCTCATCAGCACACCTAAGCCCATCTCTGGAGGGAGGCTACAGCTTTTGTGCCTCTGGGGACATTTCCTTCAATCCCTGTGGATTGTCCCTGAAAATCAAATTAAGCCAGTTCGGACCAGCATGGAAAACATCAATGTCATCACATCCATTCTTCCAGCATTACAATATAATAAAACTGAAAATAAATTGGTGCAATAGAATCAGGGGGAAGAAACCCCACATCTTTGTTTCCTGCATTTTTGTGTCCTATTTCCCGTGAGTGCCTCCCCACAAGGGGCTATGGAAGGGGATTTGTAGCAGGGTCACACATCCTCTGCCTCCCCTGAAAGTCTGGCTGAAGAAAGGTTGCTGCTGAGAGAGCAGGAAGGTGAAAACGTGGAAAAATAACACTTGACCCACCTACAGCCATGAAAGCTGCACTTCCATGTGTCAGACATCCCCAAGGAACATGGAAGAGAGCAGGAGGTTTGGGATTTGCTCCCATTATTCATTAGAGCATTCACACCATCATAAGGAAAGCAGGGAGAAAAAAAACCCACCAAAATAAAATCAAACCACACCAACACTGACTGATTTTTCTAGGATGGGAAAGAACACAAAGCATTCCTAACTGTGGAATTTTTTTGTTCTGGATGGAGCACCAAGATACCAGTTCCTATTTGTTCTCACATTAGGGGAATTGACTTCAGTCTGCTTATTTCCTCTACCCCAAATTCTGCTTTTTCTTCCAAATTCTAATTTAATCTCTAAAACTTTAAATCTTGCCTTGTAGAAATCTTTTCCCAAGAGTATACTTTCCATCAAAAACCCTGCCCAAAGATTCAAAGCCCTTGAGAATTTCAGGCTGCTCATGTGAAGGGCTGCTCCACGTGGAGGCCTCCAAAAACTTGGGGTACACTGGCAATGAGAAATTCTGACCTAGGAATAAGGCTCATTCAGTCCTTAAAACACGTTAAAACCAAGTCTCAAATCCAGTAATTAAATAAAAAGAAATCAATGGGCGAAAATAACTCTCTGCCTATAAAAATCATCCGGAAAAATTCAGTTTTGCTCTTAATATGATCTGAAATACTATCACCCAATTCACTTCCACACAGGGGAAATGATAAAATAATTCATTTATTCCTTTACAAAGGTCAAGTTCACTCCTTCCAGGATTGCTCACATGAGCACAATTATAATGTAATTTACTATTGTATCTAAATTACTTGATATAAAGAGATATCCATCCCATGGCAGCAAACTGTCAAATCCTAACATCTCTGCTGACTTCAAGAACATCTTTAAAGGTCAGGCACGGTACCTGTGTGCCTGACTGTGAAAACAAGCAAGAGTTATTTGGGAAAATGTTTTTATTCTATGAGATTTGCTGGTCTCTGACTTCCTGTGAATTAGGAATGATTGAGCTCAATGTGCCATGGCACAATGGAACTAAATATCTATTTCTAAAGAGCAGGATTTTCTGTATATTGCCAGAACACAATGGCCATGTGCACTGATGGAATAAAACGTCCCAGCCACTGTTTTGAGATCTCCATCCTTAGAGAAGCCATTCCAACCCCAGCAACAGACCCTTGGAAGCAACAGTGCCATGGAAGAACTAAAATAAGGATGAGATTTCACACTTTAAGTGAGCTAGAGACTTGTTTGTCTAGGCAAGAACAAAATTAGGTGGATTTTTATTCCTGCATCTCTTGGAAATCCCAGTATAAAGTTTGGTCACTAGGAATGTAGAACACCATGCATTCCTTATCAAGTTTTGTATCTCAGACTGAGCTGGGTTGGAAGATGCCTCCAAGCTCATTCCAACTCCCTAGCTGTGGGAAGGGACCCCTCCCACTAGACCAGGTGGCTCCAAGCCCTGCCAAGCCTGGCCTTGGACAGTTGCAGGGATGGAGAGTCCACAACTTCAACCTCTCTTTCTAAAGGCTCTCACAAAGTTTTTTTGTGGCAAAGTTGGTTTGGATTTATTTATAACCCCTTGCTGTTAGCACAGGTTTATTCCTAATGAGTAGGGAGGATGAAAGGCTAAGAGAGATGAGCTATGGCAGCCAAACCATTTCAGCTGAGGGGGTCATTCCACCAAAACTGAGCAGGCCACAGCTGGAACACATCAGGATTCAACAGCAGCTTGCCAAGAACCAACACATCCAATTCAAAGAGCACATCCATCTTCAGAGCCCTCCTTTGGACTCTCCTGACTGCAGGGAAAACCACCCCAGGAGGAGGGAAAAGACCCTGGTTTTAACAGCCACCCCAGTACCAGAGCTTTTTCGGCACATAGGTTTATTAAAAATTGGTTTATTGAGGAGTTTTACCCATAAATGCATTTATTCATCTGACTTTGAGCAATTCCAACAAGGAAATCCTCCCAGAGTAACAGCAGAGAGGTTCCACCAGCATCACCTGGCTTTATTCACCAACTGAAGCACCTACATCTGATAAACCACAGCCACACAAAGTACAAAAACAGACCCAGCTTACAAGGTTAAAAAAAAGAAACCAAAAAAACCCTAAATATACAGAATAAAAAGCAGGAAAGAGTAGTAAATTACTCTCAGGAGTAAGAGCTGATTGTAACAGGGTAAAGCACTTCATCCCATCAAAATATGCTACACAACTGCAATGCTCAGACCACAAATTAACAATCTGAGAACTCTGTTTGTCAGGAGAATTAAAATACTGAATAAAAGGGACATTGATTTTCTTTTGAAATTTCCATGACTACAACCAAGTTCTTCCATTTCAGAGGTGTCCATCAACTCATGTTCCTAAACTTAGAGGGAACCAACAAAAAACTTCCCAGAAGCCACGTGGGAAACCCAGAAGTTCACGTTATTAATGCTCCTTTCATGCTGCAGAGTAAAACTTCAGCTTTACCCAAACAAAACCAAATACTGACCAGAACTTTGTCCTCTGGTACCATCCCACTGACTTCAGAAAAATTAAGAAGGTCTATTTGCCACAAGGACCTTAAAGAGTGGTTATGAATAATTTGTGCTATCAATAACTGTGGGGCACTCACCGTTGCGACTCTCCTCGTCAATGGGAACTATTGTGGCTGGAGGACCTGTTCTGGCCAACTTGCAATCTATAAAGATGAAAAAAAAAGAGTTATTTCTCATTCCAAAAGTAGGATCTCTGGGGTTTTGTTGTTGGGGTTTTTTTTTAAAGTCAGCATATTTGGCATGCTGAAGGCAAGTATTCCCTTAAATGTGATGCAGGTATGAGCTACAACTGATTGTAAAGTTACACTCACAAAGGTTCAAAACAGAGCTGTTTGCTTATCCCTTACTCAGAGAAACTTTGTAAAGCAAGGGAGGATGTGATGACAAATGATCTCAGGTATAATCCATATTTAAAAACCCTGAACAGCAAAAATATTATATGGTTTTTCCTCTTCCTTTGCATGTCATGAACAACACCCCTCAAATCACAGAATCATGGAATGGTTTGGGTTGGAAGGGCCTCAAAACCCACTCAGTGCCACCCCTGCCATGGCAGGGACACCTTCCACTGTCCCAGGCTGCTCCAGCCCCAGTGTCCAGCCTGGCCTTGGGCACTGCCAGCTGCTCTGGGCACCCTGTGCAGGGAGGGATTGTTGTCACATTCCACCATGATCCAGCTGGATGGCTACACTAATGAATCTGTTTGTGTTTTGCTCTAGAGATCTCACCAGCAATCTCAATGTGTGTCAGGACACAGGGAATACGATGGCAATTTAACCCAAAGAAATAACAAAGGAATGATTAAAAGGTATAAATCATAATTAAAGCTTCACAACAGAAACAAACAAAATTTGTATTTAACTGCAACAAAAAGGATCTACTTAGTGAATGGAATTTTAATAACTCTAAGGAGAACACAAATGAAAAGCAGACGAGCAATGTTCAGGAAGTCATATTTTGCCATCTTACCCTCATATTGCCAGTCTGGAGTCAAAAGTTTAGAGTCATCAATGGAAGCAGAGCAGAATAACGAAAGAAAATAAGTAAGAGTTTGTTGGTTTACTCAAAAGAGAGGTTCAAAGATATCAAGCAGTACATGCAGAGCTAGCAAACACATAAGTGTAGCCTTAAAATACATAAAAGCAAGATCACCACATGTGATGGCTGTTTTAGGACCAATCAGGTTTTCTACATTAAACAGCAGAAAACCAATATCCCCTTTAAAGCACATGAAAATAAAAGTTCATTAGGAAGAGCTTTTAATTTTCCAAGAGCATCATTGACTCAGTGAGCAAAGAGACAACCATTCTCCTTCCCAATTCACCACTCAGGACTATGTGAGTTTGCCTATGATTTTATAGACTTGATGAGGCTCCTCTGATGCACAGCTCAACCAAACTCCATTTGTGGGAAATGATACCTTCCAATCAAGCTCTGGGCTCAAAATAGGAAAGAAACACTCAGGTATTAATGGTTTGTTTTGCTTTTTTGAGATGTATTTTTTACACACAAATCCCAACAGAAAATCATCTGTAAATTAAACAGAAGGACAACCTGAGGTAAATTCTGTTTCTCATCTTATGGTAAAAATTACACATTTGTGGACTTCAAAGGACCCAAACTGCAGCTGGTTACAGCCTCTAATTACCCCAGCACAGACAAGACCTACAAAGGGAGGTGAGAACAGTGAAACATTTGCTCAGATCTCCATTTAGGTGAAGCCCCTAAAGGACACCTCTACAACACTGGGTTTTCCTCCAGCAGCAGCAGCAGCAGCTTTGTGCTGCCCCTGAAAAAAGACCTCCAAGACCACCAAGCCCAACCTGTGACCAAACACCTCCGTGCCCACTTCACCACTTTAAAGCATAAATAAAATCACTAATGCAAGAAGTCTCTCCCTCCCTATTCCTTTCATTCTTATATGCTCTACTTTGATACATGACAATTGAAAATTTGCAGTTTGTTTGGGTTTTAAGAATTAAATTAACTATTATTTTAAAGCTTTTTTGTTTTGCAGGCACTAACAGAGCAAATAAATCACCTGGAAAACCACATCTTTCATTCCACTGTAGTTTCCTATGAGCACACTGTGTGGGCAGATAAGAAATGTTTGCATTATCTATATGAAATATGGCCTTTTATTTTTTTTTCCCCTGCCCTCATTTTATTTACTGCATACAAGAAACCTTCCAGGGCCATAACAAAACCAACTTTAACTTTTTTCTAGAGATGTATGTTATCATTTTCTAGAGGTTCAGGATTTGGAGAACTGAAGGACCCTTCAACAAACTCTTAATTAGGGCAAAGAAGCTCAACAATAGAAACTTTTACTGTGACTTTGTTTTCAGGAATAGCCCTGCTATACCCCATGCAACAGTGACTAAAAAAATAAAAGTAAAAAATAAAAGCAAAAACCAAACTAAATATCCAAATAAAAACGCAAAGCAGGGACAATTTTTAAGTCTAGAAGTTGAATATATCTTAGTAAAATAATAATCAACATTTTTTTTTTAAAAGTCCATGGAGCTTTTCCCCATCTTCTCTGTTTCCATGATATTTTCTCCCTGCTAGGTGTACCAGTGAAAGTTTCAGCCAAATCAGGCCAACTTCTAGCTTATATTCAATTTAAAAAATTATCAAAATTACAAGCCAAATCACATGTCCACATTAACTTTTCCATCAAACACACCTGAATTTCCAGAATGATAAACAAAACATTGTACAGTGCATTTAAAAGGAGTGTTTAGCATTTAAAAGGAATGTCCACCAATCCAATGTGGATCTTGGAAGTCTCAGAGAAAAGGCAGGACTGGCCAGTGAAATTCAGCAAAAACAGAGGATTTATTGCAAGTGTGAGCAGGTGAAGCAACAAAATTTATCATGAGATAAATTTCAGTGAAAAGAAGAGATTAGAGCAAGAGCCAGAAGTATGGGAGGATAAAAAAACCAAGCAAACAAGCAGGATGGGAGTAGGAAATTTCTGGATTAACCCATGGCACCAGCAAGAGATTTGTGAATAAGTTTTATTGCATAGACAAAAATTTACAAATTATTTCACATCACTTCCCCATGCCAGCACTACCCAAACCTCCTTTTTCAGTTGTTGTCACCTCACCCTTCCCTTCTGCAGGATCAAACCTTACAAAGGCACAGACTCAGTTCCACATCCATCACCATGCCCTGAACAGATAAATCTAAAACTGCAGTCTGACACAAATTTCCAATTCAGAGACAACAATTTTAATGAAAAACCTTGAAGACAAGACATTTGTTGTAAATATACATATGGGGGATCCCTTTTTTCCCCCCTCACAAAATCAATGAGGTCCAAAAACCTAAGCCCAAGCACTGTCTGTACAAACAGGCACCAGCCAGAGATGGTGGGAATTCCTGTGGATGTGAAAAAACATCTTTGGACTGAGCCAGGTGCAGAGAAAAGTTATTGCCACCATCAGGAGGATGGAGAGTCTGTCTTATAAAGATGACAGAAGTTGGAATATATTTAATCAAGGAAAATGGAAACTCTCTGGAAACACAGAAGTAGGAAAAAATAAGTTCCTACAGCTAAAGAGCAACACCAATAAGCAGTGTCCCTGAGGAAATGGTCCTCAGTGCTGTTACATGAAAGAGGCTCTGTTTTTAGGAGAATCCCATAATGTTTGGGCTGCAAGGGACCTTAAAGCCCATCCAGTGCCACCCCTGCCATGGCAGGGACGCCTTCCACTGTCCCAGGCTGCTCCAGCCTGGCCTTGGGCACTGCCAGGGATGCAGGGGCAGCCACAGCTGCTCTGGGCACCCTGTGCCAGGGCCTGCCCACCCTGCCAGGGAACAATTCCTCATTCCCAATATCCCATCCATCCCTGCCCTCTGGCACTGGGAGCCATTCCCTGTGTCCTGTCCCTCCATCCCTTGTCCCCAGTCCCTCTCCAGCTCTCCTGGAGCCCCTTTAGGCTCTGGCAGGGGCTCTGAGCTCTCCCTGGAGCCTTCTCCTCCTCAGCTGCCCCAGCCTGGCTCCAGCCCTCAGAGCATCTCCAAGGCCTCCTCAGGACTCACTCTGCTTCTATCAATTTTTTTTTCTCCACTATTTTGTTGAAATGATCCTCAACAGAAATTATTTCAGCACTAAGACTGCTTTATTCAACCCAAAAATGCACAGAATAACTGCAGCCCCAAAGGTGACTTAGGAAGGAAATATTTCCACCAGACTTTAAACCCAAAGAGCAGAAAGGTGCCCCGTGTCACTGTATGGGCCTTGGTAGAACTCTTTTAGCCATTATTTTACCTCTTCCAATTTTACACTGCAGTTTATTACCAGAATGTATTACCAGAACATGCCTCTGTTCCAATTTTCTCAACAAAAAAACAAGTTGTCCTTGAAATTCCTGGGCATAATGGAGTAGTTTTTGAAGTCAAATCATGATAAATCAAACACACTTTAAAAAGGAAAAGCATTCCATAAATGAGCTTCCCTCCCTACAGTTTTCATGATGCATTTTATGTTTAGGCAGCAATGCTGGTAAATGGAATCCTGAGGCAGCAGTGCCCCTGCCCCAAACTCCTTACAGGAAAGGCAAATAGAACTTACTAAATAAAACAGCAAGCTCTGAAGGCTTTCCTAAGACCTTGCAGCAAATAATTTCTGTTCCTGTTGTTAACTTGACTGTTTTTCCTAACAGTACTTCTGCTTTACCCTTCTTTAATCAAGAGAAGGGGATGAACAAAGGGCCTCTCTCCTTGGGAGCAAAGTGAGAACCTCTTTAGCAAACTCTCCATGTAACCGTGTCAAGGCTCAGCTCTATTTGGTTTCTGCTGGCTAATTTTCATTATTTTAATTTCTAATTATTTTTAATGAGATGGCTCAGGGGAAACCCTCAATCACTGTCCTAGGTGAGACACTCAGCAAGGTCAAACAGCCTGAGCACAGACAAACACAACAACTGGAATAATCAGGTATTTTCCCAGCAGACACCTCCTGGATCATCTTCCTTTCACCTCTGAAACCCCTTCAAATCTCTTTCCCATCCAGCATTCCTATTCCTTGGAGGACTTCTCTCTGTTTTACAGCTAAAAGCACAGAAAATAATCTATAAAAAATAAAACAATGGTTAATGAACCACCTAATAACAAACTCCCAGTGTGTGGAGCCAACAGGTAATGTCCAGAGCTCTGCAGACACCCAAGAGGAGAGAGTCTCCAGTGGGAGGTGGAAAAAAATGGATGATTGTCACAGACATCTTTCATGAAAAATCCTTTCTTAGGATTTTTCCTTGTGAGAAGCTGCAGTTTCAGCAACCAAAAGTAAACAATGATTATCTGCTGCTGTGGAATGCAACAGGCAGACCCGTGATTGGTCTCCTGTGGATGTTTGGATTTCCTGACCACTCATGGCAGAGCTGGCTCTTGCTCTCTGTCTGAGACACAGATCTTTGTTATTCATTCTTGTCTATTCTTAGCTTAGCTAGCTTCTGAAGAAACCTTTTCCTTTCTATTTCTTTTTAGTATAGTCTTAATGTAATATATATCATAAAATAATAAATCAAGCCTTCTGATCATGGAGTCAACATTCTCGTCTCTTCTTCATCCTGAAAACCCTTGTGACCATGGTCACAGATGATCTCAGAGGTTCCTTCCAACCCAGACCACCCTGTGACTCTGGCCACACAAGCTGGGGTTTGTCTGACAGCCAAATGTCCCCTCCAACACCCCTGCCCCACAAAGTATGGGGGTTTGCAGTTTCCAGCAGCTCCCTTTCTCCTCCTCAGCTCTTCTCTTCATTCCCACCATCCCAAAGGCCCCACAGCCCCTCTGCCACCTCCAAAGGCACCAGCTCCTCCAGAAAGGGCTTTCACAGGATTTTCCACACTGGTCTCCTGCTCCCAGTCACTGGAGGGACTCACAAGATGGTTTGGGCTGGAAAGAACCTTTGGGATCCTCCAGTTCCAACCCCTGCCATGGGCAGGGACATCCTCCTATGAACACCAGGC